TTGATACTCCTTTGTTGCCGCAAGGCATCCTCTCAAAGTGTTGTTGCCAACCAAACAACCCACACGTCTCTGCGGAGGCGCACGTATCCTCAATGCTGCGACGAAACGAACACGTCGACTCAACCATGCCCAACGATAAAAATAAAACTAACCCCCGCCCCCCTCCCGTCACGCATGCATAAAATTCGACGATTGCACGGTAACACTTTTCCGGGAGTGCATACGGGTGTTATTCGTCGCCAAACATTTCCTTCTCGATGCCGGCCAACATTTTGCGCAGGAATCTAACTTTCGTCTGATAACCCTCTGCTTTTTCTTTCTCCTCCTCCACAAATTTCTTCGAGAATTCGGCGTGGGACTCGGTCATTTCCTTGTGGAGGGCGAGGCCAGAAGCTTTGCTGTCGTGTTCAGCAGTCTTGCATGCGTGTTCCTCTTCTTTTTTGGACCACTCTGATTTCCGATCCGCCAACCTGTCCCAGCAGTGGCTCAATATCGGCGAGCGCGGTTTTTATGGCAGCGGCGTTGTTGTTCTTGGTGTGGGTTTATGACGTCTGTTGTGGGAGTCCTCGGGTCTCTCGCCTGGTCGGGACCGGTGTGTGTGTGTACGTCGAGCCGTGGCGCTTTCCGTAAATTTTGAAAAAATACGCGCCTTCGCGCCTTCTGCCGATAAGAACCACCGGAAACCCTAGTTACGGTTCCGTGAAAAAAGTTACTATTTGGTGAAAAAAGTTACGTATTTTTTCGGCCTGATAATAACACCCCTTAACAGCAGGGCTGTTTTCCTTAACAGCAGGGCTGTTTTTCTTCTTCATATTTCTTTTCATGCCCCAGCTTCCTCCTTCGATGCGTGCTGAATTTTGTTTTTATCGCGAGAAGGGTCCAGGCGTCCCTTTCCCTCATCAACGGTGCTAACGTCGAAGTTTGCACTACTCACGAGAGCTTTTTTAGCCAAGTATGCTTCGCTTTCACTCGGAAATTTCGTAATTTTTTCACCCCATGGGCATTCGAACTCACGACCTCTGCGACTAGCGGATTGCGACGTTACCACTAGACTAAAAATCCATTTTTTTTTTTCTCCCATCAATGGACTCTGTCGTCTGCCCCTCTGGCCCCTATCCTCCACTTCTACCAGCTAGACGACCCAACCGGGGTCACATAGGAGGGGGGGGTTGGACCCCCTCCTGCGGTTCCTGCCTGAGATATTTTTATCGCGAGAAGTACATACAGTAGCGGCTACGGTTCAAGAGAACTTATTTAAGAGAAAGTACGGATTTAAGAGAGAGGAATTGGCTTGTACCAATCAAAATCGATTTAAGAGAAGTTTCCTATTGCAGCTGGGATTTTTCTCTTAAATCGAACGATATGGAAACCACGTGGACACAAATACCTCAGGCATGAACCGCAGGAGGGGGGTCCAACCCCCCCCTCCTATGTGACCCCGGTTGGGTCGTCTAGCCAGTAGAAGTGGAGGATAGGGGCCAGAGGGGCAGACGGCAGAGTCCAATGATGGGAGAGAAACAAACAAAAACAAAAAACAAACACACACATCACACACCCACACAGCTGCAGACACCATGCCCTGCGCGGCGGGCAGTCGCTGCACGGCTGTCCCCGATCACACGCCAGGCCCGCCGGCGTTCACAAATCACCAATGTAGAGGAGTCTGCGGGCAGTACCTCCATGGCACCTGTGGTGTGGTGGACCCTCAGGGCACCTCCGAGATGCATCGCATCTGCCACAACTGCCTGTCCTCCCGTGAGCGCATGACTTCAGGCGGTAGAAACATGGCTGTCTGTAGAGGACAACGTGGAGGTAGCCGAAGCGATCGTAACAGAGATGGTAGAGGACCTCTGTGATGAGAATTTGGTGGACATGGATCGTTCCTCTGACGACGAGGACGACGACATGGTTGAGCTACGCCAATCGGGACAGTTGGCGGCGGCAGCGGCCCCGGCTCCACCGCCGTACGCGAATGTAGCAACCCATTTTGGTAACTCGAGGATACTGCCGAGAAGTGCCGCATGTCCGAAGTGTCTTTTCACCTCCGCAAGGCTAAGCTAGCGTGGATGAGTGCCTACGGTTCGAGGGAAACCAAGCAGACGTGCATGAGCGACTTCCTTTGACGGTTGCAGCGCAGATCGTGTTCAGGCTGACAGGTCGCCAGGGTAGCGTTGGTTTCTTGGGTTTGTGTTATTTGTACGGCGAGTGATGTTTTGATATTGTGAAGCTCTTTTTTTTTCGTTGACTTGTGTTTTTGTCGGGGGTTTAAATCGATGGGATGAGAGGTATGAGGGTGTTATGTTGAGGGTACGGTGGGAGGAAGGGATGCATTGTGCAAATGGGTGCGTCGTTCTTGAGTGTTGGTGCATTCGTTGCCTCGTGTTGTCCTTCTAGAAGAGGTGCGACTATGAAACACAGCTATAAAACAACTCAACCAAAAACCTTTTACGTGTCCACGTGCAAAATGTGCATCGCATCACACAACGATGATTTATTTTCCGAACGCAGATCCACCAAAAGCGTACCACGTACAGCAGTACTTGGGTCCACGTGCTTGCCAACCAGGAGAATGAGCGGTGTTTGGAGGTAGCCCGACGTGGTAACGCTAGCTGCGCAAGTGACATGCATGATACGCTCTCTTCATGACCTATTTTGGCATTCGAGT